AATCAGTAATATCAGTAAATGAATCAGATGGCACAAAGTGGTCAGATTATTACGCACAATCATTTTTTCATCTGAGAGTCTGGATGTTTTTTATATTAATCTAGTCTCACTCCCCCCTAGTGAGGCTTTGTTGCACTGTTATATTTTCATATGTCAAACAACATAAGCACTCATTTTTTTTGCTCTTATTCCAAAGAAAGACTTACTCACAAGTCTGGCTTTACGTCCCTCAAATGTCACCCCTCTGATATTGTCCTTATTGATCACAAGCTATCAATACAGATCCATTGTCATGTCTGCTCCCATCTTTGCGCAGTGCAGCCATCTGTGAATCTACAATTGATGACACCACTGTCTCTTCAACAGAAAGCACAGCAATTGTAAAGAGCTGATTTTAATTGTTTTCTTTTAGTGGAGGAACAAGTTCTGAGACTCCCAATGCATTAACTGACGCGGCTTCTCCGAAGAATATGAAAACTCTTCTCCCTCTTTCTTTTCGCTCAGTCCCTCCCTTTTTTCCTTTCTTTGCACTCACTCCTTCCCCCTGCCGTACATCAGGAGAGAGCAGTATGCAAATACTAAAAGAAACAGGCAGCCAATAGCAGATGATCAGGCCTGCACTCCCACCAATCATAGAAGAGCAACTTTTCTTTCAATAGTTCCTTGCTGGGGGTAGACAGCAGGACAGCAGAAGAGGAATTAATATGCTATGCTCATTATGAGTTGATTAGCATAGATAGGTTATTTTACCAAAAACAATATTAAAATAAAGTCAATATTTTAGATTATGTGGCAATTGTCTCTGACTGTTAGAATAAAACGTGTTTTTGCCTTTAAGATCTTTATTTAAATGCACCTTGGTGTGATCTTCATGTAAGTTCAACGCTGTAAAATAATAATAATAATACAAGATCAATAAGTTGACATACTGTAGTATATTTTTACATTTTTTTTTTTTTACATATTTTTAACTCGTCAAAATAAGTTAAGCAATTTCAACTTTTTTATAAATTATAAAAGATTCAACTAATTTTTCAGTTTAATGTAATTTAAGTTGAAATTGATTGTACTTAAAAATTAACTCAGTGCAGTTAACGTTAGGCCTATTTAACCTCATATCATGATGGGAATCATCATTTAAGTAATGCATGATAATTGATTCAATTGAATATGAGCTACAATTTATAAAGGCTATTCCACATGCATGAAGAGGTTGAATCTCTAAAAGAATGCATCGACTTCAAATGATGAATGCAGCCAAGGAAAACGTGAAGAATGGAAAAATTGCTGGAAAGAAAGTGGAAAATAACACAGTTAAGACAAATAAAAGTATCCTAAACATTTACCTGTCAAACTGTTGGTCAGGCGAAGGTGACTGGTTTTATTAAAAATAATTTATTTTAGGAAAAATATTTTTCTAATTATTGCACTTAAGACTGATAGCACATGCAGATCAAATAACAAAAAAAAATGGAGAAACAAGCAAGTGACGATCAAATCATAGACTGTAAAAAAAATAGGCTCAAATGCACCTAAGCGAGTGACGTCATTCCTTATGGTACGCGGTGTCTATGGCTTGTATCCATGGCAACGCTCAGCTGCGTAGTGACAGTTAACGGTTCTCCTCAGACGCAGCCTTGTGTTTTCTCTTTCGTCTGTCTAAAAGGTATTTTTAATTTTTAGATTATTATACATTAGTTACCATAACGACTGTCCATCTTTAAATTATATGAAAATATTACATTTTAAAACGTTTGCTGAAGTTGTCCGCAATGTACTGCTGATAACCGTTAGCACTATGCTAACACTACGAAGCTAACGTTAATATGTTACGCTGAAATGAGACAACGTTATATTTCATATATGGATATATAGACATATAAAATCATAACACTACTGAATATGTTCATTTTGTTGTTTTAGGTAGCCAAATGAGGAGAATTGCCATCGGATTAACCCCACAGCTGACCGACACACACACACACACACACAGCTGCCAGCGCATTTGAAGACACACACACACACACACACACACACACACACACACGGAAATAGCACAACACAATTACCATTGTTTAAATAAATAATTTAATTTGTTCCTTACACCGTGTCTGTTTTCTTTGGTTAGCCAAAAGTAAAATAAAATAAAATGATATTCAAGGGACTAAACGCGAAAGTCCCATAAACGTCCCGAATGGCCGTTGGTGGTCCTGGAACGTCCGGAGGACGTCTTTGCGAAGGTCCGCGGGACATCAAGCGGACCCTACACGGGGACGTTAGCACAGTGCAGTCTGGACGATGGGGCGGGGCGACACTTTTAGGTGGGGCCAGAGCGGGGCGACACGTGTCGCTCCGCCCACACCTGATTTTATTGGCATAGACGCGTGAGGCACGAGCATGCGCATTCCTTTATGTACGAGTTTATGAATTATCTGTGACGCTGTTTGGCCGTGCTCTGGCCGTACTATAGGCTATTAAGTGATAACCATTGCGATTTCAGTAACGATCAATTGGATAATGTTTTGATGAACTTACGAATCAAGTTAGATGAAGTTACTGTCAAAATGTATTCACAATTCACATCGTTTCAAAGCAGCTTTACAAAAAGTCATATTGTAAGCTTTAATATTGAGCAGTTTTATGGCTTGGCGATATCACAAAATATGTTGCTGATAAATAATACACTGTTTGAGATTTAGCATAGCTATACTATATATTAATTTACCCTGCAGATAAGTCAGTGCCACTTTTGGTGGGCAATGAGCATGACTGCATGAAATTACTGGCAGATCAAAGGAGAGATCATTTTTATGTGGGCTGATTTAGACAATATTTTTCCGCATGTCATGCAGAGCTCCTTAATTTTACATCATTCGTTTATGCTTCTTCGTTTTTCCATTAGGATCAGTGATTAAACACAAACTCGGGATTTTACACAAATTATGATAATTCCCTGTATTTCAGTAAAACAAAGGATAAATCCGAAAGTGTGTTTTATTTTATTTTAAAGCAAAACCACGGTGACAAATAAGACAGGCTACCAAATAGCAAGCCCTGGCCATTGGGTTATGTGCGTACAATGGGAATAAAATCCGTGCAGCGCTGCAATGTAAAAATAAATTTTAAAAAAAAAATGTTTTTTGTTTTTTTTACTAAAACAGATGTTATGTTGATCTATAGCAAATATTGTAATGTAGGCTATGTGCTCAAGAGCGTATTTAAGCAATTGGCCTGCATGTTCATATCACTGCTGGGTGTTTTATTTATTTTATTACAGCCTATTATAATTGCACAGATTTATAGCAGTGTGTTTTTTTATGGTTATGCAGCTAGCCTATATGTGAGTGTTAATATTTGTAACCATTTTAATCAAGTAGCCTATACATGAACATGAACACGCAATGCGATGGTGGATGAATAAACAATTGGATTTTTAATATACCTGATGTCACAGTCACAGATAGACAGTCGTACATAACCAGTTGACACTTATTAGAAAACATGAATCTTTAAAAAATATAACATAGGGCTTTACAGAACCAATAGGCCCGAGCTCGATCATTTTGTATGAACAGGTAATCAACCAGGAAACGTGTTTGCCATTAAACATTTTATTTGCACTTTGTACCAAATAATGCAAGCATTGGACAATCTCGTTAAAAAAATGACAACAAAAAACGGTCATGCTTTAAAATTTAAAATCAGCTGCTTACATTACAGTCAATTATCATCATTTGCGTAAAATCCCGAGTTTGTGCTGATCCACCGATCCTGAATATGAAGAAGCCAAGTGAATCACGCACTAATCTAATGTAAAACATCTCCCTGAAGTACAAGTAACGTCACCAAGCGTTCGTTTTTAAACAATAACTTAATCTATACTGTGTCTCAATTATAATAAAGTATTAGCCAATAGATATTAACAAAAATTACCATGGTAAACTGATAATAAGATACGATTAAAGTTAGCATTTAATATTTCTTTGATACGGCCAAATCATTCACAAAATCGTACATAAAGGAATGCGCATGCTCAGACCTGAATCGTTTACCCCAATAAGATTGCGGTATTATAAACCAATTAAATTGGGGGTGGGCGGAGCGACACGTGTCGCCCCGCCTAAAATTGTCGCCCCGCCCCATCGTCCAGACTGCACTCTGGGGTACTACATTTAGGGGACGTTCTGGGGACCTTTTTATGTTAGCTGGGTGTGCACCTGATCAAGAACAGTGAATGCCTTGTGGGTTGATTTTAGACTCCAATAAAAACGTTTATATTAAAAATGACATTCTATTAAAATTGCACAACCTATTATTTTTATGTCATATGTGATTTGTTTATGTGGGGCACAATCAATGATCAGACGTACACTTACCATGTACACTGCGTCTACAGAATTCCCTTTTCTTTTCATTTAAACGGACACCGCTTTGCACATGTAAGCATAACAGAGGTTGTAGCTGGAAGAATGGATAGATTCATAATTTCAGGACACAAAAACAACAATCCGATTCAAATTACCGGTAGTCGACATTCAAGTCCTCCACGGAGGAGGTTGTTTACGATCCGCATGTCATCCAACTCAGCAGAGGGCGCTATAGTCTCATCAACGGACTCAAATTTGTAGTTCGTGCTGCATCCCATACTCGTGTTTTTGTTTTGTGGACTACACGCTCACTGCCATGAAAGTTACATGAGTGTTTTAATTGTATATCTGAATCTAAATTAACGTAGTGAAGAGAATAGAGGAAAAATACCTCTTGAGCTCAACGCTTTCATTCCAAGCAACACAGGTAAACTTACATTTTGTAAAGTAAATGAAACTTTTCTGTGTACTGCTACCTCTACACGAATGACTTTAAAATCATGTTAAATGTACAACTCTTTGAGATTTTATAGTGGAAATCAGCGATCTCCACCAGACAGATGTGTGCGATATAAAGCCCCGAGTGTGCGCTGAACCCACGTGGTTTGATCGCGAGTCTTTTGTTCCGAATCAATCAAAAAACGAGGAAGACGGACAGACATAAGTAGAGCATCTGAATCAGGAAATCTACTTGCATAATAAACGCATCTTTCAGCACAACAGACCAAGCCATTTGATTTAACACGTCTATATTCCGTCCACTTAGATATTTGTATTTAAAGTAGAGGGGAGAAAGTTTTACTCAGGTGAGTTATAATATCCTCGATGTTTATGATTGCGGCATCTGATGCAAATGCAGTATAGCATGCTAACACGGCTACGTCTGCATCATACACATATGTAAACGTTATGTTTTTCAAATGCACTTTCCATGGGACATACGTTGATGATTTTGACTTTTTTAACGGGACGGGGGCAGATATAACACGTGGGTAAGGGAATAGTTTAGTTAACGTTACTAGTCTGGTTGAAGCAGAGCGGTGCTAGTTGGCTAACCGGCGGCTGCGTTATAAAACATAACAAAGAAACAAATGGAGACTGAGTGAGACAGACGCGTTGCTGCTGATTCTTTTGTTACAGCGCTGCTAGTGTCTTAGCATACCACAGGACCGCTGCTTTTTACAACACTTTATATTTATATGATCATATATACCAAGAAACCATGCCTTGACATTACTAATACGAAAAGCATGTGTGTGTGTTTTCTTAAGGATTCCTTCGCTGTGAGATAATTGGGAATTTGGATCAGCAAGAGATTTAAATCATATTGACATTTGTTTCTTCAGTCGGATGGTTTCGGCTCGTTTGATTCTTCTTTCCGTCCATTTATAGTCAGACCAGTAAAATGCTTCCCAACTACTTTTTTTTTGTGTTTGTTTTTGTTGTAGGATTTTGTACTATGCCACGCAAGAAGCAGACCGATGTGTCTGGGAACGGTGGATTGAAGAGAAAAAGAGGAGGTGGAAAGAAAAAGGAAAGGGAGTTTAGCAGTGATGATGAGTTTGATGACTTTGAACAAGAAAACACAAAAAAACCTGGCAAACCAGCAGCTAAAGCGGGTCTGCAGCCGGTCACTGTGGCTGATGATGTGAAGGAGAAGATTGTAAGGACATATAATTGCATACTTATTGCTTCTATTTACTGTATGCATATATACTAATGCACTTTATATGTATACATACTCACTAGCATATGATAAAGTAAAGAGATTTTCAAACTTTGTATTGCCAAGGACCTCCAAATATGACAATCTTGTTATGGAACCGTTAAAAAAGCTGCTGTATATTTAATAAGTATGGTGGCTTATTACCCCTCAATGAAATTTTCCAAGGTTAATGATGCACAGTTATGTTGTCATTGTTCTCAAAACAATGCATTACTAAAATATTATCCGAAGAATGTTTACTTTGCGTTACCATAACGGTATTTTTTTCCTTACTTTTAATGTTAGATATATAAACGTTTAAAATAATAATTAAAAGAATACACTAACTCATTTACTTTGATAGCTTTGAAAACTACATATATATATATTTTAACTGTTCCCCCAAGAACCCCCAGTGGTTCTTCAGAGCTCAGTTTGAAAACTGTATTAATTGATTGTTGATGGATTTCTTGCTTTTTCTGTTGTGCAGAAACTTGAGGTTCCCAAAGTCAAAGGTCAGCTGCTTGTTTTTGGAGCCACCAACTGGGACCTGATTGGCAGGAAAGAAGTGCCAAAACAGCAAGGTACGATCGTGCATGAGCCAGAGATATTTGGGTTACAGTATAGTTTCAGGGAAGTCGCTCCCCAAGTGAGTCATCTGTGCTAATCTGTTAATTCTGTCATTGTGACACCAGAATTTAATTTGCACTTGTTTTTCACTTTTGTTTTCTTTTGAAAATGTAGTTAAGCACTTTTTGATGTATACAGAGATTTAAAGAAAAAAAAATTCTGACATCCTCATATTGGCAATTTAAGATGAAGTGTTGGATAGTGCCATGCATAGATGACAAAGACCTGTGCCTATGAAAGTGCCGTTTTATAAATCAGTAAATATTTATTTTCACTGTTTTGATCTTTATAACAACTAGTTAATTTATGATCTCAACAAAATATAGATACTGGTATTCAAGTTGGTAAAAAATAGCAATATTGTGAAATAATATTGTTACAATTTAAAATACTTGTTTTATATTTTCAGCATTATTACTCCAGTCTTCAGAGTCACATGATCCTTCAGAAATCATTCTAATATGCTGATTTGGTGCTCGAGAAACATTTCTTATTATCAATGTTGAAAACAGATGCTGCTTAATATTTTTGTGGAAGCCGTCATTCTTCTCATACTTTCAATAGAAATGTCAAAAGAACAGCATTTATTTGAAGTGTTTTATTTTTTTGTAACAGCCCTTACTCTCACTTTTGATCAATTTAATGCATCCTTGCTGAATAAATGTTTTTTTTATTTTTTAAATGTATTAGACCAGTGGTTCCCAAACCTGTCCTGGCGACCCACCAACACTGCACGTTTTCTTTGTCTCCCTAATCAAACACACCTGATTCAACTCATTAGCTCATTAACCCATGTGATAATGAGCTGATGAGTTGAAACAGGTGTGTTTGATTAGGGAGACAAAGAAAAAGTGCAGTGTTGGTGGGTCGCCAGGACAGGTTTGGGAACCACTGTATTAGACTATTTGAAGTTCTTGTTGGCTGAAAAGTACTGCAGAGAATATACACCTCTGTGTGAGATAAACCGGATTTAGTTGGCCGTAACTGATAAGTCATATTTTGAACATCACAACAGGTACATTTTTTAATAAACCACCAACATCTCACACAGAAAACCTAAGATAAATCAGCCAGGTGCTGATATTATTGACTTAACACTTAAAATAAGAAAGAGGAAGTGTGTGGGTTGCAGTCATTTATACTCTTCACTTTTGTTAGTGAGTATTCATGTGTGTCTGTGTGTGTTTTTCCAGCTGCTTATAGGAACCTTGGGCAGAATCTGTGGGGTCCCCATCGCTATGGGTGTCTCAATGATGTCGAGGTTAGCTGTGTGGTGTCTGGCCCTTGTGCTGCCCACAGTCTCATCATAACCACAGAGGGCAAACTCTGGAGCTGGGGTAAGTGTCCACACAACAGTAGTGTTTCAGCAGCTCTTAAAGTGACAGCAGCCTAATAAACCCTCTGCTGTCTGTCATTAATGTTAATCAAAGAACAAAAGGCAAAGAGAAAATCACTCCCTGCTCTTAACTGAATAACTTCAGGCTTTAATACAGAATAATCTATATTAGATTTAGAATTTATACAGTGAAGACTGTCCAGTGTTTGTTTATTCAGTTTCTGATTTGTCACTAATAAACTAACACCATATCTACACTTGATGTGAGTGGCGCGACGCAACAAAAGCAAATAGAACCCATTATAAATAGAATCGGCGATGCTGTCTACACTATAGGGAGCGATGCGACCCTGCAAATTCCCAACAGTAAACTGATGCACTGGTCTATTTCTGGCAACGGTCGCTTTGTTGTGGTGCGGCGTGACAACTGTTACATCCAGTGTAATAAAAATCCAGCAATCTTTATGAAAGAAAAAAAACAGTACCCAAAAACAACTAAAAAAATAAATAAATTCATTCATCAAAAGATGCGGAAATCCTGTTCCTAATTTCTGTTCCTGGTCCCTCTCAGGTCGTAATGATAAAGGGCAGTTGGGTCATGGAGACACTAAACGATTGGAGGCTCCAAAACTAGTTGAGGGCCTGGGGGAGGAAGTGATAGTAGCTGCTGCTTGTGGTAGAAACCACACCATGGCTTTAACAGGTAGGCAACCATCTGCTAAATGCAAAGTGTTTGTCATATAATTGCAGTTATTATAATTTGTTGCATTGTTATAATGATAATGTAACTCCATTATGCTGTTCTTATGCTTTGTCTCACAGAAAATGGTACTGTCTACACCTTTGGAGAAAACAAACTGGGTCAGCTAGGTCAGGGCAATCAGACAGATGCTGTGCTCAGCCCTGCTACAGTAAGACTCTCCCTTGGTTTCATTTACTTAATGGGGATTCACTGGAACATGTTTATTGTGTTTTAAATGCTCTACAAAACAGCTGCATTTATTTACCTACAGATCCAGTACAACGGGCAGCCGATAGTCAAAGTGGCCTGTGGCGCGGAGTTCAGTATGATTGTGGACTGCAAGGGGAACCTTTATTCTTTCGGTTGTCCTGAATACGGCCAACTTGGTATGCAACAATGTAGTCCAATGATGCTTATTTAAAGGGATAGTTTACCCAAAAATGAAAATTGTCATCATTTAGTCACCCTCGTGTTCCAAACTTGTATGAGTTGCTTTCTTCTGTTGAACACATAAGATTATATTTTAAAGACAGTTGACGGCACCCTTTGACCTCTATAGTAGAAAAAAAAAATACAATGGAAGTCAATGGGTGCCGTCAACTGTCTGGTTACCAGCATTCTTTAAAATATCATCTTATGTGTTCAACAGAAGAAAGAAACTTGTACAGGTTTGGAACAACTTGAGTGAGTAAATGACACAATTTTAGTTTTTGGGTAAACTATACCTTTAACTGAAAAACATTTACCAAATGCATCGGTTTGACTTTTTCAACTTTGTGTTCTGTATCTAAAAGGGCATAACTCAGATGGAAAGTTCATTGCTCGTGCCCAGCGCATTGAGTTTGACTGCGAGCTCATCCCTAGACGGGTGGCCATTTTCATTGAGAAGACCAAGGATGGCCAAGTGCTTCCTGTGCCCAACGTCGTGGCTCGGGATGTAGCATGTGGTGGCAATCACACGGTGAGTAGCAAGTTTGTGGATTGTGGTGCAAAGCAGTCATGGATGAATTAAGGCTGAATTATATTGTTGCTGTCACGCAGCTGGTGTTGGATTCCCAAAAGCGTGTTTTCTCGTGGGGATTTGGGGGATATGGACGACTAGGCCATGCCGAACAGAAAGACGAAATGGTCCCGCGATTAGTCAAGCTCTTTGACTTCCCAGGCCGTGGAGCAAGTCAAATATACTGTGGCTACCAGTGTTCCTTTGCTTTGAATGAAGCGGGTAAGCATGTAATTCCTCCCTAGGAAAAAGACACAATTGAATACCCATAATGTATTTGTGGTTAATGCTTCTCTTTCCTCAGGAGGTCTATTTTTCTGGGGAGTGACAAATACGTCCCGTGAGTCCACCATGTACCCCAAAGCTGTGCAGGACCTGTGCGGATGGAAGATTCGCAGTCTGGCCTGTGGGTAGGTAAAGGCAAAGGATTCTGAAAATGTCTTTATAAAACATTTAGAAATGTTTGCAGAATGTTGATTAGATGTCTATAATTCCTCTCAGGAAGAGCAGTATTATCATTGCAGCTGATGATAGCACCATTAGCTGGGGACCATCGCCCACATTTGGAGAGCTGGTATGTTTGTCTTCTGTTTAAGGCTTTGACTTGTTTAAAAAAATCTACACAAAAGTTTGGGGTCAGTAAAATATATACAGTATTTTAAATAATACTTTTATTCAGCATGGATGCATTAAATTAATCAAAAGTGACAGTAAAGTTTCAAGATATTTATAATGTTTCTACAAAATGTTAAGAAGCACAACTGTTTTCAACATTGATCATAATAAATGTTTTTTGAGCATCAAATCAGCATATTAGAATGATTTCTGATTTAGGATCATGTGACACTGAAGACTAAAGTAACGATGTTGAAAATTCATATAGGAATACATTTTTAAAAGTTTTTAATTTGTAATAATGTATTACTATTTTACAGTATTTTTTAACAAATAAATGCCTTGGTGAGCATAAGAGACTTCTTTCAAAAACATTTAAGAAATCTTACCACCCCTAAACTTTTGAACTAGTGTTAATGGTTTTCAAATTTCTCATATTTAAATTTTGCATTTTAAGGGCTATGGTGACAACAAACCCAAGTCCTCCACCACTGCTCAAGAGGTCAAAACTCTGGATGGAGTGTATTCAGAACAGGTGAATTCTGCTGGCAAAAACCTGACTCGTATCCTCCCACAATTCTGTTCTCTGTAATATAAAGGTATGCAACTGAAAACTTTCATTTCAGGTGGTGATGGGCTATGCGCACACCCTGGTTATTGCCCGACAAGACACAGAGCAGGAGAAGGAAAAGCTCAAGAAGCTGCCCGAATACAACCCGCGAACACTCTGATTGGACCCCATTCTTGTTTTCTCCGGGGGGCCTTTTTTTAAATGGAATGCCTCTGTTCACTAGGTCACCTGGGTAATCACAATTTGGTTGGGATGGGATTGTTTATTTTTCTTCTTCTTTTTTTTGGGACATCAAATTACATTTTTGAAAGACAATCCACGTGTCGGATTAAAGTATCGAATAAGTTGCATTAACTGATATGTGTAGGCTCGGGTGTTTCAGAATGGTAATTGTGGCGTCACACGCCAGTTTTAATTTCACGATAAAACCAGCAACCGCTCCGAGCACTCGGGATTCCACTGGATCCATCCCCTTTACTTAAACATTCCTAATGGAAGTTTATCACAGATTGTTTTGTTGTTTATTTTTCCGTAACAATTACTGTGAGATCCATGTCTGCTCTCTTCCAAAAACTGGTGCTAAATCATTCTAATGCAGACTATCAATGGACTAATGTTATCTTAAAGACAAACTCACTCCATTCTTGTGCCTTTTTAAGTGAGATGATTCAGGCTGAGGAAGTTCAGTTAGTCCTATGACATCTCAAGTGTTATGGGGCACTTCACCTTTTAAACATCACTTGCATTACTTCCAGCTCCATGGTTTCATCACCATAGATAAGAACATCATTTTCTTCAAATCAAGTAGCTAATCGGTAAGATTTTTTTTTTCCCCTCCATTTTCAAGATGCATACTTCTGTTAATCTAATCAGGGAAGTATTTTCAACTCCTGCAATGCAAATGAGACATCAGCTGTGAGATTTTTTTTATTAAATGCAAGTCATAAATGTTCATGCCCTTGCTAGTGATGTAAACTACAGAAACGCTGTTCTCGTGTTGATGTTAGCATGTTTTGGAAATAATGAACTTGATGTTGAGAAGAGTAGATTGTCCCATCATCAGGGACCACAATGTCTTTACAGAGCATTTTTTAATGCAATATGTTAAATACTGTGCCATTTCTTTGTGTTTACCTGGGCTTAAACTGTGATCACATTGTTATCTTTCATAATCTGTATGAAAGTCCATACAAGAGTCCATCCAGTTTGTGGGCGAGCAACAAGCTTATGTTTTATGTTCAATGAAAACAACAGTTTTAAATTGTGTACTTGCAAGAAATGTGTTCATTTGTTTAAGCAGTATATGTCCAGGAACTGGAATTTAAACTCCTATTTTGATTTGTAAAATGTTATTTTGTTTTCTTCATATTAAATAAAGGTTCATGTAAGTTGGTATATGTTGTTACACGGTATTTTTTTTATCCATGGATCTGATCTTTTATGTAGTTTTGTTTTTACTCAAGTTAGCAGAACAGTGTGCTTGCTGTTCGTGTTCTCTTAAGATTGACATGAAATGAAAATTCACCTTATATATTTCCATAATGCATGCTATAGATCTTATGAACAATTCAGTTGTGCACGTTTCTTTTTTTTTTATTTACCTCAATGTTTAATCAAAATATTATAACTGGACCATCTAGTGAACGACAGACTTCTCTCTGGTGACACATGCAGGGCTTTTCCAATCATTTAGTCCATTTAACTTTGTCCCTGCAAGGCCACGTTCATCTGCCCCTACTTTTGAGTGCAACGTCCACATCTCAGCATTCAATTAGCAGCTGATGCATACAACCATGTCAGCCCTACATTTTTCTGCCCCAATATTCTTTTACACTTGATTGTATATCACAATATTGGAGAAAATATCTGCTGCTACTTCAGTTTCATTGTGGTTAACCAGTTTCAGTTTTATTGTACTGGCATATCTTAAAACGTCAGTGCCATTGTTTTATCTCAAGATGCAAACCAGTAATGTTTTTTTTTCTTCTAAGGCACGTTTATAAAAGCTACTTCAATGTCCTAATTGAACTAAGGACTATTACTGGCTTAGTCTAAGCCGTGTCTGTGAAACCAGGCCTAAAGGTATTTGTGGTTTGATAAATACTGTGTCCATCTAGCATGAAACAGCATTGAAAGAAGTGTATCTGAAAGGATAAAATTCAGTATATTGTATATGAATTTATTAAAATGTAAAAACAACAACAACAAAAAAAAACAGCAAGAATTTAATCCTCGTCCTCCTCTTCTTCCTCATCCTGGTTGATCTGGAAGTATCGAAGCTCATAGCTTTCTTTGGTGTTAGCCACAACACGCAACCAGTCTCTGAGATTGTTCTTCTTTAGGTATTTCTTTGTGAGATATTTCAGGTACCTGCAAAGTTGATAAATACATTGGAATATAATGTAAGTTGCTGCAAAAAAATTGGCAAAACAAATAAAGTCGAGATGTATCAAAACAGACAAACCTTTTGGAGAAGGGCACCTCAGAAGAAACTATGATTTTGCTCTTGCTTCTCTCAATGGTGACAACTCCACCTCCCAGGTTTCCTGCTTTCCCGTTGACTTTGATGCGCTCCTGTAGGAACTGCTCCTGTAAACAAAAGCAAACAAGAGACAAATTCAGACAGCCGGTGGTAATCTGGCATTTCCACAGTAATAATCACAAATAGGCTTCATAAGAACTTGATCTAACGTTAACGTTACTCACAAAGTTGGCAGCATCCATGATACCATCTTCAACGGGATGCGTGCAGTCCAGCGTGAACTTCAGGACCTGCTTCTTCTTCTTCTTCCCACCTTTAGAGCTCTGCTGCTTTCTCTGCAATTAATTGCACAAAATGTCCACTTTCAGTCTTGTGTCTACGACAGGCATGTCATTATCATCAGAATAACACAACTATTCCCTGTGAATGTGACTTCACGTCACGGGGTTCATTCAATAATATAACAATTGTCTTACGGATTGGGATATTACTTAAGTTACTTTTTGACAGCGATAGAGATTAATATGCAATTTCGAATGATTTGTGTACAAGGAAATGAATGGAAACATCTGTTATTTTATTAACTTGGTCCGTGTGATCGAACTTACAACAGGCGCCATAGTGAGAAATTTCGTCGAAAGGAAGAATCACGACTGCGCAAGCGTGACGTCGCAGTGTTCGATTTGTCTGTTGTTTGACTTAAAGGTACAGTTCGTCCAAAAATAAAAATTTGCATAGGACCTATCACATGACGTAGTTCCTGTATTTGGCCCCAATGTTCAAGGGGGGGTGAAGACCGCAACCGCAAGTATATGTTGACTTTTGTACACAGTTAAAAAGCAAGTCAAGTTTTTACAGAGCTAAGGTAAAGTTTTATTTACACATTTAGATTTTCAGTAGCTAGGGGAGAGCGGGGCACAAAACCTAACGCTTTTTGACTTTCTCAGTTGTGCAAATCTACTTAGGGTTCAGAGTATTTATTTTTTCCCACATTCATTTCCCACATGTCTAGAACAATTATGTGGTTTTGTTTTATTAATGCAGTATATACTTTTTTCTTGATATACCCCGAAAGAATGAAAGTGAAATGTGACAACATCCCCCATAGCCATAGGTGGGGTAAAATGCTATCTGATCTAATCAAAAAAATATACAAGACAAACTAAAATATGTTCTCAACAAAATACATTTATTAACTTTTTCATATAAAATAATGGCATTTTTTAATAATTAAAAATAAAACAATTTTTGAGTTTGACAATGAACACACCGGAAAACACAGCAATACAACAAAGTTCAAAACATAATAATAGTTAATAATTTCTGAACATTGACTCTCAGTCTTTATTCACCTTTTTCTCACGTTTTCTCAATGGGGGCTAATAGTTCAAATAGGGGCACAATCAGTGGTTAATTTGTAAAGTGGGAGGTCCCGGAGCGTAGAGGGGGGGTGGATCCGGCGACTCAAAACGGGGGTTGGAGGAAACGAAAAAAAAAAAAAAAAAAAAAAAAAAGAAACTACGTAGCTCTCTCTTCGTTCTCTGACTAAAAAAAAACCTTAACAACGATGTGTGTGTATCAGGGCAATGTTTATTTTAATTTCAGAACATGCACTACATGGGTGCAAAATGTAAAAAAAAAACGAAAAAAAAAAAACTTTTCACAAGCAGCAAGGGGGTCGCACAACGGACGAGAAGCGCCGAGTCGCGTCTAGGACAACTCGAGCAGGGGCGGCGCCAGATAATTTTAAAGCAGGTGCTGAGGGGCGCATCTTACTAATGCTGTTCAATTTTCATAATCAGCATGTAAAAAAATAACATTATAATATTTTTACAAAAATTAAACAAAATGCGCTTATTTAATGGCTACAACAACACATAGTGGGCCATATATACAGACTCTCTAAATATTGACATTGACATTAACAATGCTGTAGAAGTGCAGTTTGTTACGAGCTAAATGTTAACTAATCTATAGTTAGGTTAGGTTAGCCTACCGATTTTTTATACACAGATTCAGAGGTCTCGTGAGTTCAGTGTTGGACAGGTCAGTTGTTTTAACTATTCATTAAAGTAAATAGTTAAAATGAGTCATTCGTTTGCGTAGGCCTATCGGACGTGTCATTAGTGGACGTCCAGCCACGGCACGCTTGTGTGATTATCTCGGCAGTTTAGGACACGATTTGCGTCAATACAGAAAACATTTAATCACTGGATAGGTTTTTTCGGTTATTGAAATGTGGTTTATGTCAGCTGAATGGGCGGAACGCTTTTTAGAGAAGATAATAAGGCAACGTGTTTTTTTTTTTTTTTTTGCACAATTCACACACCGCGGTAATTCAGGAGAAAAAATCTCCAAATGCTCCACGTGAAACTGCGATCTTCCGACCTTTTACTATCGTGTCAATTGATTTTGATTAATATGCGCGCGCGCGAGAGAGAGCAAAACAGCGCTCGTGTTGTTTGAAGACGTGAGAGTGCGCGCGCGCGGCCGGGACGCGCTCTCTCTCTGCTCGTTATGCGCCCTGTCAAGCGCGTGATTTTTTTTCCCAAACCACTTTAAATGCTGGAAAAACCCCTGTTATTATGTCGAAATAACGATAATCTCAACTGAAAATCCGATAACATCAGCAATTTTAATTCAAGCAACTGATTTCTGTAAATGAATGTAAAACTAAATATATATTGCATGCAGCACAGGGTGAAGTCAAACAGTATTTACATTAACAACGCCGAATGGTGCTGCCGGTGTGTGTAGATAATAATGTGTTAGAATTTTAAAGACGCGGCGCTGCGCTTCTCGTCCGGTGTGCGAGTCACTTTACCCTGAAAATTCACCTCAAAAACGCATCGAAACTGCAAACACAAGATTTTTGTGGAACTTCAATGGGGAATAAAGACTAACAAGACAGATAACAACATTGAACACTACACAAACAGTAGTTATTAATTTGCCATAGTGACACAGGAGGTGCCGGATCCAATAAAAAAAGGTTCCGGATCCAACGTCGGAGCAGGGTTGCCAGATGCCAGCAAGGTTTTCCAGCCCAAAACCTCGTCAAAAACCGCGAGAATGCACAAAAAACCGGCCAAATTTGGTTTTGGCTTGTTTCTCATTTAAACGCATTGAAATTAGGCCTATCAAACAAGCTTTAAAATTAGGCTCCCCATTGGTCCGTGTACTATTGCGTCCATTCGTTTTTCATTTTTTAACCTGTAATGGATAATCTCAAATAAACGGTTGTTGTATTTTTAAAATGCAAAGTTGAACACCAATTTAATTTGAACTGTATACACTAAATGCTGCGCAAAAAAATAAATTTTGACGTATTTTATTATTTTTGTATATGACTTCTTGCCCCTTTATTAAACATTTAAAATATTCACAAATTAATATGGAAAAAAAATGTATACCTTGAGAGAAATCCATATGGATTACATAATCAGACGGTATTTGCTTTCGATTCGAATTGGTTCTTTAAAAGTGGACATTTCAAGCTTTATTGGGTAGGCTAGTCTATATTTTGTTTCAGTTCATTTTTGAGACGCGCTCCAGTTCACGGAGATCATGAAAGCGCGCCTGATTGTTTATTTTATTTTACAAAAGCACACCGTTTTCTTGTTATTATAATAATAATAATAATTCATCACATTTATATAGCGCTTTTTCTGGACACTCAAAGCGCTTCATATAGAGGGGGGAATCTCCTTATTGTGAGTTTACACAAATAAAAGTAGTTGCGAATGATGTATTATTATTTTCTGTATGACCAGAAATGATAGAGTATTTTAAGTTGTTTCCACAGGAAAATGCAAGTGTTCGCGCTCGCGCCTCCGTGCCATGCAGTGCGCGCTCCACACTCCCACACACACTTGGATATGCGTCAAAATCTTGTTTATTTGTGATAATCTTTGCCCTGCCTGTATTATTATTGTCTAACCTGTATTATGACTGACATTTGGCGAATTGCTTTGTTCCTTTTTTGGATAAAACCATCTTCTAGCTTAAATATAGGCCTAATAATAATAATGACAATTATTATTTGCGTTTATAACTATAAATGAGTTAACTTAAGACAGTAATATGTTTATCATAAAATAATTTATTAATGTTTTATTTTTTATATAACCTAACATTTTACAGTTTTTGTTTTATATTTCTTTTTTATATGTGAAGTTTTTCATAAAGTTTAAACACAAGGAATCCCGTGCATCCTGCACCTAAACAGCTGGCCTGGTTGAATCAGCCGGCATAGACAAACGAGGAGTAGGCCTACAGTTTACAGCCTAGGGTTTATAAACTGATTGCAATTACATTGTATAAGGAAAATAACCCCGCGAAATAGTGTGTTTGAGGGGAGGGCTGTGCCGGTGAGCTGAAGGTAGTGGAGGGAGTGTCTGTTTTGAGTTTAGGGGGCACGTGCGTCAGCCAGAGCTGTGAGTGAGTGAGTGAGATTGCTGCCTGCCTGCTGAACAGAGGGTCGCAGAAAGAAGGGTCTGAAGTGCCGGTGGTTCGGCTACAAAAACCCGCCGAACTGATCCGAAACCAGCCCAAGTTTTATCCACCCGCCCAAACCCAATTTTGCCCGCAAAATAGATTGCAAAACCGCCCAATTGGGCGCAAAACCGCCCAATCTGGCAACCCTGCGTCGGAGGTGCCGGAACATGTTCCGGCGTGTTCCGGCTCAAATTAAGCCCTGGGCACATTGTAACGCAGAGTTGCACCTGCACAACTGATTTAAACCCTGCTAGTGTCTTCTGCTAGTTAGCGAACCATTAAAGAACCATATCAACTGTTAAATAACAAATTGGAGATAAAAATAATATCAGATTTGTCTTATTTAAAATAAACACCAAAAATAGAGATGAAAAATTAACATAAGTAAGAAATTTACTTTTGCTATGGTTAAATAAATGTTTAGTGATATCTTCCAAAGATTTCTGAATTTTGGCGCATTTGTTTCTTTATATAGTGTTGATATGGCAACTGGTAAATACACTAAGTTTCGTCATGCTAGCATGTGTGGAAGTATTTAAAACAAGGGTGTTACAACTAGTCCCGCATTAGGTTGTGCCCGCTCTCCCCTACTTTACACTTTAAAAAAACCTCTAAATATCTGTTCAGTAGTCGCTATGTAACAGTCAACAAGATTTAACAATTATGATACTTATGATACTTACAGAATATATAAAAAGCAGTTGCAAATGTGCATTAATCTCTGCACCAATAAAATGTGCACACTTTACATTGCACTAACAAATTATAATATCTAATTAATTTAACGTACACTGGAAAGTGTTCCTCAACATCTCTTGATTTTTTGGCATGTGAGTTGCTGAACATGATGAATGATAGATACGCTTAGCCTTTAATTACCGCTACGATGCGATATTAGAGATATTGTGGATTTACGGTGCATCTATAATAACACTGCCTGAGAAGGTACTACATTTAAATTTGAATTTACTTCACACGAAAAAAGTATGAGGCTCATGGGATAGTAAAATGTCCATTGTATGCACACTTCAGAATCTCACCGGAAGAAGTAGGTCATCTGGGTCATTTTTGCGTACTCTTTTATGAGTAATGTGAATTCGGACATACTTCTTTTGTCACATACTGTTTTTCGCATACTAAATAGTAGGAAAGTATGCGATTTCGGATGCAGCCTTGCTCTCAAGTGGCCAAGACTGCAAGTGTGGGTACTGAAACAGGCCCTAAATTCACTCACCTTCATATCATTGCAAAACAGTCTGACGTTCTTTCTACAATGGATCACAAAATGAGATGTTTGAGTAGTATTATGCACTGAACATTTTCCCTTATATTTTGTGCTTTCTGCATGTTTATAACAAAGATCAAATGTTATTCTGACATGACATGCTGGTCAGTCTGCATGTTAGTTTCAGAAATATATACTGTGTAATTTAATTTTAGATAGCAGGGCTCTTCTTTTGACAGACAATGGCATCTGGTTTGTGTTGAGTAATCAAGGTCTGAGTATTCTGGCCCCAACATATCAGCTCCTCATACAACAGATACAGGAGTGTGAATTCATTGTTTGTTTTTGAAGCCATATCTTGCATCCCTCACAGAACCTTCACACGGCATTCACTGTCACTCCACCCAGCAGAAGCACTCGGACAGGACAAGGTATATATTCTTTATGGTGAATGCAATTAAATATGTATATTTTTCAATATGCATTCATTCATGTGACTTTATGTTTCTTCGCAGCTTTTTCAAAGGCATGTGTCTGTTTTGGAGCTATTTTCTATATCCAATAATAAATATTGTACTTGGATCTCAGCTTTTTCAATTGTTCAAATCAATGACAGCCCAAGGATACTCAGCATACTCAGAATAGATAGGCTGTAAATGTGCAATGTGTAAATGTGCTCCTGTAGCATATAGTATATCAAAATATCTGAAGGTCTTTATTGTATTTTCAGATGTCTGGAGAGATCTTTTCTCCTCTAGATAATATCTATGACCTGGACAGTGCCAACTGCCATCCTCTGGTGTGCCACTTGTGCCAAGAACAGTATGAGCATCCATGTTTACTGGACTGTTATCACACTTTCTGTGCCAGCTGCCTGCGCGGAAGGACTGTGGACAGCCGACTTACTTGCCCTCTCTGCGGGTAATAATTTACTTTATTTAATCATTGATCACCTTATTCTGACCATTCACACAGCATATAAATTATCGCAGTGGGGTGGAAAGGGCCCACAGTGTTAGAACAGATTTAAACGCAAAGATAAAGCCTATGTATGCATTTGAAAAAGACTGTATTTATAGATTTAAATGGTCAAACGACATTGTTTGGTCAGCTCTGTGGTGCCAGGGGCATCTGTAGGAGAGATTACCTGTTAACAGCTGCAACATGAATCCTGCCTTTGATCACAAGTCTCTGGGCACATTCTGCCAAGGCCACTGTGGCATCAAACAATAAACATAACACTATCCTGACACTTGACATTGGATACACGGGTCCTGGGCTGGCTACAATTAGAGATGGCTGAAATGCCTGTGCGCTCACCCTTATGCTGCCATATAGTAAGTCTAGCAGCAGTTTAATCGCACACTGCAGATCTTGCACTTATGGAGGGAATTTATAAAAAAATAGAAAAAGGTTGGTCTTTATAAAGAAGCATGTTAGAGTAAGTATGAATTTGTTTTAAGCTGGTTCAGTGTTCATTTGTCAAATGTCTCAGCGTTTTGAGTGTTACATTGTCATTGTGATCGCATGCATTATGTTTGTCAATGTTATGCATCAGCAATGCAAAGGACTGTGTTAATGTTCTTGGATAATATTGTTTAAAACTTTTGTCAAATACACGGTAAAATCTTCTCATAAAAGTGAATTAACAGGGAATATTTGAACTGTTAACCTAAGTAGTATTTTTTTATTTGTTTGTAGAGTTGTTTGAGTCCCTTTGTTTGTGTCTATTTTCGTCTCTATGGGGGCTTATCTATTGCTATCTCAGAATTCAGAAGAGAGCTATTTGTGTCGTTGTTGCTATGAAGGAGGGATAAACACGTCAATGCCAGATGTATGACTAAGACAGTATCAATGGGTCAAAAGTTCTGCACAGACACACAAAACTGTCTGTTTCTTTTGTAGACATCAGTCTGTTGTGAAAGGAATAAATGCACTTCCTCCAGAGGATCGACTCCTGAAGTTCTTGTTGGACAGTTCAGCAGACAGTGAGGAAACCGTGCAGTGTGCTAACTGTGATTTGGAGTGCAAGAAACAGGTTATCACAATACTGTAACATGCACTCAAAGAAGAATTGAATGGTTCCCCATCCCTAAAGTCACGATGTAACGCAAATAGCGACAGATGTTTAATTCACATATAAACATTCATCACTCACACATCAGTTGTGGTAAACGGGCATGTTCGCTTAACGTGCGTGTTACGCAGCACGATTGAGCTTCTGCAAGAACCAATGAGGTTCATTCTTGTGTTACGCAGCACGTTTGAGCTTCTGCAAGAACCAATGAGGTTCATTCTCGTGTTACGCAGCACGTTTGAGCTTCTGCAAGAACCAATGAGGTTCATTCTTGTGTTACGCAGCACGTTTGAGCTTCTGCAAGAACCAATGAGGTTCATCTTGTGTTACGCAGCACGTTTGAGCTTCTGCAAGAGGTTTGTTCTCGTACGCAAAGCAGGTTCTGTTGAGCTTCTGTTTATGTTCGCTGATCAATGTTTATATGTGAATAAAAGCCTAAATTCAGTCTGTTTATCATATAATAGTCTCTTCAGAAAATTTGGACTAAACCGGTCAATTCATATGGATTAGTTTTACAATCTCTTTATAAACTTTTTGAAGCATCAAAGTGGTAGTTGCGTAGCTGCCAATAGAGGGACAGAAAGCTCTCAGATTTCATAAAAAAGATCTTCCTTTCTGTTCAGAAGATTAACGAAAGTCTTACAAGTTGGAACGACATGAGGGTTAATGACAAAATGTCAATTTTTGGGTGAACTAAAAATCAGACTAAATTATTGGAGAATCTGAGAGAAAAGTCTGTGGTTTTACCGGTAGATCAAGTTTTTGAAACATATGCATGAAAGATTAATAAGATGTACAGTGTTTAGAAAATAGGGAAAAAAAAATATTTCATGCTCTAACATGCAGGGGTGTCCAAACTCCTGGAGGGCCACTGTCCTGCAGAGTTTAGCTTCAGCTTGCCTCAACACACCTGCCAGTTTCGTTTTTCGTTCACGTGTGCCTAAGACCTTGATTAGCTGGTTCAGTTGTGTTTAATTGGGGTTGGAGCTGAACTCTGCAGGACAGTGGGCCTCTAGGAGCAGGATTGAACACCCCTGCTCTAACGGTTCTTTTAGTACTTTAATAGAATTAATATTTTGAGAAAATAAATGCAATTCTTTGATGAGATATTTAAATTATAAATGAATTAGGTTCTTGTAAAAGTTGTTTACACAGTCATGTTAATGACAAAAAAAAAAACAATTATTCAATTATAAACAATATACAATTGAAACAATTGAAAAATAAAACATTTTATTGGCTATTTGCGACAAAACATAATATATTGTTTCTTTAACTACATGTTGTCTTATGAACAACCAGTCAGTAACTTTAAGTATGAGTTTAAATAACTAAAAATAAATGAGTCATTTGAGTAATTTGTTCGAGAACCGGACTACAGCAGTTCCACTGTACATTTTTGATTCACTAAAAAGAAAGAGTCATTCATTGGGAATTTGACTCAACTGATCATGCTGTTGATTCAGCAGTAACTCAAATATTTCAATAGGTCTTTTTTTTTTTTTTTTTTTTTAAGATGAGTGTTCTGTTTGTTTAAGTATTTAATTCTTCTGTCACCAATCCCAGGATGTGGATGCAATGTATTATTGCAACACTTGTTGCCAGCCACTGTGTCGAGACTGCAGGGAAACCACCCATAAGGCCAAGATGTTTTCCTGCCACGAGATTGTCTCCTTGGCAAAGCGCACCAAAGAAGCCCACAAAAAATGTGGTGTGTGTGTGTGAAGCTCGATTTTGAATTAGTTCAAACTACTTACATTAATGCCATTTCTTTTGTCAAGAACTAGTCTTTAATGCTTTGGGATTTGTGCACTTTGTCTATTTACAGCCCTCCATGAGGAACTCTACATCATGTTTTCTACCGAGAAAAAGTCCATGCTCTGCATCAACTGCTTCAGAGACATGCAAGTGTGAGTTCTAAACTTAACTGAGTATGTGATTAGCATATGACCCATATGATTTCAAAATAATGTGGGTTAGTCTTATTCCATAGGGAGAACAGAGCACACTGCATTGATATTGAGACAGCATATTTACAAGGCTGTAAAAAACTGGACCAAGCCGTCTTAGTGAGTTTCTCTCCCATCCTTTTTTCTGCCGTAATATGTACTTTCATCTGTGTCTGTATTGTGTGGAGCTGCGGAGCTCCTATTGAAGTCATTTCACTCTCCTCAGGCTGTGAAGGAGCTTCAGACTTCAGCTCGAGAAGCAATTATTCTGCTCAAAGCCATGATTGGAGAGGTCAGAACCAATGTGGATGAAGAGGAGAGCGCCATCTGCACATTGTTCAATAATATGCAGGTGCCATGCACAAATACTCAATTAATCTGGCTACACCTTTATGATTTTGATGTCAGAAATTGATTTGAGCACTTTTGATTCGAGATGTAAAATTAATTTGGAATGATTAATAATAAAATTGCTGATTTACACATTTATTTTTTATTTTATTTTTTGCTCAGGAAAAACTAGCAGAGAGAAAAAAGATCCTACTCAAAGCAGCACAAAGGTAAATATATATATATATGAAGACTTCAGATGCAAAAGCCTCTAAGTCTGTCTAACGTTTTTCTTTAATATTAACATTTTTATCAGGCTCCTATGTATAGGTTTCTACCTAAGTACCGACATTTCTGAATGGGCTGAGGCTGGGATTTAGTTAGTTGGAAGTGAAAGTATTTGATGAATGTATACTATGTGCGGAGAGCATTCACTCAATATTATTATCTCATTTTTGACATTGGTGGCTTTTAAAGCTTTTGCATCGGAGGTCTTCATATATGGGGCCCTATTACTTAAAAACAAGTGTGTGTATATATACACTCACCTAAAGGATTAATAGGAACACCTGTTCAATTTCTCATTAATGCAATTATCTAATCAACCAACCACATGCCAGTTGCTTCAATGCATTTAGGGGTGGGGTCCTGGTCAAGACAATCTCCTGAACTCCAAACTGAATGTCAGAATGGGAAAGAAAGGCGATTTAAGCAATTTTGAGCGTGGCATGGTTGTGGTGCCAGACGGGCCGGTCTGAGTATTTTAGAATCTGCTCAGTTCTGGGATTTTCACGCACAACCATTTCTAGGGTTAACAAAGAATGGTGTGAAAAGGGAAAAACATCCAGTATGCGGCAGTCCTGTGGGCGAAAATGCCTTGTTGATGCTAGAGGTCAGAGGAGAATGGGCCGACTGATTCAAGCTGATAGAAGAGCAACTTTGACTGAAATAAACACTCGTTACAACCGAGGTATGCAGCAAAGCATTTGTGAAGCCACAACACGCACAACCTTGAGGCGGATGGGCTACAACAGCAGAAGACCCCACCGGGTACCACTTATCTCCACTACAAATAGGAAAAAGAGGCTACAATTTGCAAGAGCTCACCAAAATTGGACAGTTGATGACTGGAAAAATGTTGCCTGGTCTGATGAGTCTCGATTTCTGTTGAGACATTCAGATGGTAGAGTCAGAATTTGGCGTAAACAGAATGAGAACATGGATCCATCATGCCTTGTTACCACTGTGCAGGCTGGTGGTGGTGGTGTAATGGTGTGGGGGATGTTTTCTTGGCACACTTTAGGCCCCTTAGTGGCAATTGGGCATCGTTTAAATGCCACGGCCTACCTGAGCATTGTTTCTGACCATGTCCATCCCTTTATGGCCACCATGCACCCATCCTCTGATGGCTACTTCCAGCAGGATAATGCACCATGTCACAAAGCTCGATCATTTCAAATTGGTTTCTTGAACATGACAATGAGTTCACTGTACTAAAATGGCCCCCACAGTCACCAGATCTCAACCCAATAGAGCATCTTTGGGATGTGGTGGAACGGGAGCTTCGTGCCCTGGATGTGCATCCCACAAATCTCCATCAACTGCAAGATGCTATCCTATCAATATGGGCCAACATTTCTAAAGAATGCTTTCAGCACCTTGTTGAATCAATGCCACATAGAATTAAGGCAGTTCTGAAGGCGAAAGGGGGTCAAACACAGTATTAGTATGGTGTTCCTAATAATCCTTTAGGTGAGTGTATATTTGTTGATTCTTTTTGGAAAAAGTAGCGATTCTTTTTGAAAAAGTAGCGATACTTTTTGAAAAACTAGCGATTCTTTTTGAAAAAAGTAGCGATTCTTTTTGAAAAAGTAGCGATAATTTTTTTGAAAAAAGTAGCGATTCTTTTTTGAAAAAGTAGCGATAATTTTTTTGAAAAAAGTAGCGATAATTTCTTTGAAAAAGTAGCGATAATATTTTGAAAAAGTAGCGATAATATTTTGAAAAAGTAGCGATAATTTTTTGGAAAAAAGTAGCGATTCTTTTTGGAAAAAGTAGCGATTCTTTTCTGAAAAAGTAGCGATTCTTTTTGAAAAAAGTAATGATCATTTTTTTTAAAAAGCAGCGATTCTTTTTTTAAAAAAGCAGAAATTATTTTTTAAAAAGTAGCAATACTTTTTGAAAAGTAGAAATACTTTTTGAAAAAGTAGCGATTCTTTTTGAAAAAGGTAGCGATTCTTTTCTGAAAAAGTAGCGATTCTTTTTTAAAAAGTAGCGATTCTTCTCTGAAAAAAGTAGTGATTCTTTTCTGAAAAAGTAGCAAATCTTTTTTTAAAATTAGCGATTTTTTTCTGAAAAAGTAGCGATTCTTTTTGAAAAAAGTAGTGTGAAAAATGTAATTATACATTTGTTACAGTCTTATTATACGTTTATTACAATGTAATTATACATTGTTTACAGTGTTATTATACATTTATTACAATGTAATTATACATCTATTACAATATAATTATAATTTTTTTACAGTTTTATTATATATTTATTACAATGAAATTATACATTTGTTACAATGTAATTATACGTTTATTACATTGTAATTATATATTTAATACAGTGTAATTATACATTTATTACAGTGTTATTATACATTTATTACAGTGTTATTATACATTTGTTACATTATTATTATTATACATTTGTTGATTCTTTTTGGAAAAAGTAGTGATTCTTTTTTTAAAAAGTTGCGATTCTTTTTTGAAAAAGTTGCGATTCTTTTTGAAAAAGTAGCGATTCTTTTCTGAAAAAAGTAGCGATTCTTTTTGAAAAAAGTAGCGATAATTTTTTTGAAAAAGTAGCGACTCTTTTTTAAAAAAGTAGCGATTTTCTGAAAAAAGTAGCGATTCTTTTTGAAAAAGTAGCGATTCTTTTGGAAAAAAGTAGCAATTCTATTTGAAAAAGTAGCGATTCTTTTCTGAAAAAAGTAGCGATTCTTTTTGAAAAAGTAGCGATAATTTTTTGGAAAAAGTAGCGACTCTTTTTTTAAAAAGTAGCAATTCTTTTCTGAAAAAATTTGTGATTCTTTTCTGAAAAAGTAGCGATTCTTTTTGAAAAAGTAGTGTGAAAAATGTAATTATACATTTGTTAGTCTTATTATGTTTATTACAATGTAATTATACATTGTTTACAGTGTGATTCTTTTCTGAAAAAGTAGCGATTCTTTTTGAAAAAAGTAGCGATTCTTTTTGAAAAAGTAGCGATTCTTTTCGAAAAAGTAGCGATTCACTACTTTTGAAAAAGTAGCGATTCACTTTTGAAAAAGTAGCGATTCATTTTTGGAAAAAGTAGCAATTCATTTTTGAAAAAGTAGCGATTTAACTGAATCTGTAAGTCAACTACACTGTTTAATTCTGAATATTACATTTTATTCTGGTGCGCTTAACGTTATCGTTTTCTCAGAGTTTAGGCTCCTGTGTAACAGTAGCCTTGGCTATTCAGCAACTCAAACATACCAAACCAACAATTACTAAAAAAACACACAAAAACTGATTTTGCACAGGCATTGCACTTGTTATTGAAAATGTGTTAAAGATTCTGTAAGCAAATTGCATAGTTGTGCTTGGAGTCAATTGTTTTATTTGTGATAACACAATGAAACATGCCAAATTGTGCAGACATAATTTTTAGCCATCTAGATAAAGAAATTATGATTATTACTGATAATGATTCAGTAAAAAATGCATTACTATGCATTTTTTGCATAGTAAAAATCAAACCTGTAGCTGGAGTTTGCCTCTTTTTTTTCTTTTGCCAAATAATTTTGTCTGATAAATACCTTAAAATATTAAACAAATATAAAATATTTTCCTTATATTTTGATGGTTTAATTGAACTTGTTCATTAAAAACAAATTCCCGAACATCACTTTTGGCCACTACTGTATATTCTGCATCACTTACACGTGTATACATAATCTTGCACAAAATGATTAAGGTGAAGGAGAACCAAAGATCCTGATAAAGGAACACTTATTATTAATCTTCCTTTGTGTTTTTATTTTCTAGCCAGCATGAGGAGAAGGAGAGAGCCTTTAAAGAGCAGTTATCTCATCTTGCAGCACTCCTCCCAACTCTCCAGGTAAGTGTGTTTCTCCATTCATCTTAGCTTTTCAAATATTCTTGCTTGCTTTCAAACATGTTTCTTTTTACTTCTCTCCAGGTTCATCTTGTTACATGTTCTGCCTTTCTAAGCTCGGCAAATAAGTTTGAGTTTTTGGACATGGGATATGTGAGTAAAAACAAATGAATTTTTTTGTATTTAATCATAAAAAGAAAATGATATCAAGGCATGCAACTGAGATTGATTGATTGATTGATTGATTGATTGATTGATTGATTGATTGATTGATTGATTGATTTGAACTCACAGCAATTAATGGAGAGACTAAAGAAGATTGTAAAACTACCACACAGACTGAGACCAGCTCAAAGCAGTAAGGTTAGTTTACTAAATTCAAGTATGTTAAATAAGTCAGTGCATAAGTTACATCTGCTGTTATCCATCCACGCAGATAAACACAGAGTATCGCTCTGAGTTTGCGCGTTGCCTGGAGCCTCTCTTGCTGTTGGGACAACGGCGTTCACTGTCCACTACGGGGAGTGTGGCTTTAGGTCTGGGAAACGCCAGTGGACTGTGAGTCTTGGTAGTAGGTACTACTAAAACTTTTAAAAAGTTACTTAAAAAAAGTAACATTTAAACATAAAATGTATATTTTTTTTATTTAGGATGCAATCATCCCTGTCAGTGCAATGTCCCTCTCCAGCCATTAGTGACATGTCACTGTGCTCCTCGGTGGTGCGCAGGCCGACCTCACACCGTTACATCAGCACCAAGGTTCTGCTGGCGGAGGGTGGAGAGACGCCCTTTATGAACCACTGCTGCAACTACGAGAACAGCTACAGGGTGAGCGTTTCTCATGTGCTCCTGGCCATTACCGTATATTTTACTTTCAGACATTTTCCTGGCTAATTACATTTATTGTGTTGTTGCAAAAGAAAAGCAACAACAAAGTCAAATGAATGGTAACCAAATCCCAACCCTCATGTGTCGGTCAAAAAAGACAGAATTGTTTTTATTTTTTGCCAATTAAAGGTGCTGTGTGTAAAATGTCTGTACTATATTTTAGTTTGATGTTTTTTATTTAATTTTTTTTTTTTTTTTTTTAATACTAAATTATATTTACGCTGTATTTATAATCCATTCATTCACTTTTTGAGCATAGACCTGAAAATTTTATTTCCAACTTAAACTGTCGTGAATCTTGAATGCTTTCGAGCACAGACATAAGTTTGATCGCTTTTCAAAGACGACACTTGGCAGATTATTGCTGAACTGAAGTGAAAAAAGTTTTTAAAAAGTAACAGAATTTTACGTGTATTTTGCAGCCATTTTGCAGTGGCGCGAAAAGCCTGCTCACGTAACACGTCCCTTTAGGTGAGAGACAGGACCAGGAGGCGCGCGCGCACTGTGTGATCGATGTATCTTTCACTCGTGTATTAATGCCTGTGACAGCGGTGGTGTAATTTTGACAGTAGATTGTTGCTTCATGATTCATACTCGTAACCCAACAATCGTAAAACTGTATTTTGTGTGTGTAAATTAAACCAGTCGTACATTTTCGAGTCGTACTCGAACAAACGTAGCAAATGTCGCATCTGTATCTGGATTCGTACCCTCATGAATTCACGCTTACGCTCATCATTTTTACAGTTTTTAGAATTACACACATATTTTTGACAGTCTTTTTATTCCATAAATTGTTATGAAAAATACACAAAAATATTATTTACATTTTTATATGTAATATAAATTTTCAAAATCACGTTTTACTCTAAAACTGCAAGAAAATTAAAGCCATAAATCTAAACAAGCTGTTCCAATTCCAAATTTGAGCTTGATATTGAGCTTTTGGTACGGTTTGGCTGCAGTACCAAAAGTTTTCACTAGATAAAATTCGTCTTCCATTTATTTCCAATGCGGTCATTTTTAACCGCGAGGAGCACAAGTGTGACTATTTTTTACAGGACCATTTAACCTTTTCGAATCATGTTCAGTATTTGTTTGTGTGTGTGTTCACATAGCAAGTGCCAAAGCCTTTACCAAGTTTCATACCATTCCAATAAAATAAAAAATTATTAAAATAAATAAATAAGTAAAATCTTTCAGTCAAAAATGACCGAAGAGCACCTGAGGGTTAAAAAAAATATTGTACTGCAACTGACAGATTCTCCATGTGTGTTCGACCAGACTTTACAGACCCAAATCCAGAAGCTCAAAGACCAGGTGCAGGAGATTCACAGAGACCTGACCAAGCACCATTCCCTCACCAAACCCGACACCATGAGTGAGATTTTAGAGCGCTCTGTACAGGTGAACGGACAGATATCTATAGAGTACTCCTCAGTGGAGCTCATGCGGGCCATTTTCGAGGAGGTGAGATGGTAATAGTTTAAGACTGACATTAGGAGGAGGTGAAAAAGAGGAGGGCTCATTATACCATCGATTTTGTTCTTAGATCTGGGAGGAGACATTACAGAGGGTGGCAAATGAACAGGAGATTTATGAGGGTAAGTGAAATCATTTGATTTTCTCACTAAAATCTTCTCACTACTGAGTTAAAGTATTTAGTGATTCTTGTTTATTGTTCATTTTTTAGCACAACTTCATGACCTGCTTCAGTTAAAACAGGAGAACTCTTATTTGACCACTATCTCCAGACAAATAGGCCCTTACATTCACTCCATAGCGAAAGTGAAAGAGCGTCTGGAGCCCAGGTACAAAGAGCTTGATGCATCATTCACATGGCTTATAGAGTAATATAAATATATACACATATTAGTGTTCAAAACTTTGGAATTGTACAAATATATATTTGTACATTTTTGAAAGAAGTCTCATGCTCACAATACAGTACTTGTACAATATTATTACAATTTAAAATGAGGAGTTTTCTATTTGAAAAATTCAAAGCTGAATACTCCATTACTGCAGTCTTCAGAATCACGATTCTTTAAAAATCATTCTAATATGCAGATTTGCTACTCAGGTAACCTTTTTTTCAGGATTGAAAAGTTCAATAGAACAGCTTTTTTTAAAATAGAATTTTGTAACAATGTAAATTTTGCTCTGCCTAAAAAAAAAGTTATCAAACAACTGACAATTTAATTTACACACCAAGGCTAATTTTTACCTGCAAGCTCACCACTTATAACTTACATTATCAATCACCCATACCCATATATAATAATTCCTTAAGGGATTTTAATTTTATCTCTAACAGGCTGAAGGAGCCTAAAGAGCTGAAAGATGATCGCACAGAGATCATGCTGAAGCTCTATGAGGACAGCACCTCGACTGTGGACACACAGCCCAGGTGAGTTCCCTTCAATTTCTCAGAATTTAAAAAGAATGGCCATTTAAAAAGAAAATCAGTTAATTAATGGCTATTCCATACTTCACTGATACAGTAATGAGCTGTCCTGTAACACTGAGGACATCTGGACTCCAAACAGCCTATCAGAAGAGACCAATCCCAAGAACAAGGAATACTACAGGCCAAACAAACAGAAGAACACCACTGATACAGCCAACCGCAAAGAGATACCAGTGTGAAACCGCTTTTGTGTTGATCCTACAAACGGTTGTCAGCTTAGATATCTGTTAAACTGAACAATAAGCATGTGTTAATGTAAATCTGATATACCGAAGCTTGAATAAAAACAGTTCACAGTGCTTGCATTTTAGAGAATCACAGTAATGTCAAATAAAAGTGATAAGCGTTCAGTGTTTATTTTAAAGGTTTGTTACATTTTGCTGAAGGTGTTAATAATGTAGTTATCATTCAAGAGGTAGGGTGGTCCTCTCCCATCAGCTCTTTGCACGAGCGTAGTGCAAAAAACCTATTGCATGTGTTCAAATGTCCATTACCTGTACCTACGCATATATTAGTGCTCGTCATTGGTAGAAAGTGTGCAAGAAATTCCTATTCTTTACCCAATGTCTATTTAAGCTACATCATGCCAGGAGGACAGCGAAGCCTTCCTCCTAGAAATGTAAAATCGTAAAGATAAAGACTTTGGATACAGCATACCCCTCCGGCGTTCGGCCCTCCGAATCCCACCTTCGTAGAAACAGATTTTTCTTGTTGAATTATCATGCAAGTGTGAAGGAAAGTGAAAAGACATGGATATGGTAATGAGTGAGTGTGGGAGTGAAGACGAAAGAGACTAATGCATTTGACAACTGTTAGAAGAGGACATATACATTGAGAAATACTGCATAACTGGAGAACTGGAAAGACCAATGGAAAGAGGAATTAAGCTTATAATTTATCAAATACGTTTATTTCTCTAATCATAATATTAAAACTGTCCAACAGCATTAACAAATCGGGAACCAGTTAGGCCTGTTGTGTGACTGGCAGAATTAGTCCAATCAGCTTCGGCAGATCTTAAATAAAAAGCCTACTTTCTGAGACATTAGAAACTAATTTTTACACAAAATTACACAACGTCTAAATGGCCACTGCAGTAAATATATCTTGGGTCCAATTTAAAGCTTCTCTGAATAAAACTCTTCACATCAAGGTATTTTAAAAATCTACTAAAATCTCTGTTTGTCCTGAAACTCACTCCTAAGGTTTCTAAACACAAAACCAAGGGATTTAAAAAGGAAAAAGCAGCATATGAAATTACATGGTGAAAATAGGAGGATAAATGATATATGAGGTATGTAAACGAGGAGGAGTTAGACAGAACAGAAATATGATGAAGTGCTGAGGAAGGTGGTTTTGGTGTACTAGTATCTCTGATGGTGTTGAGGGTGGAAGCTCCACCCTGCTCAGGGCAGACCAATGTGTCTCAGAACAGGGTCAGTTTTACTGTGCTGCCACCTCATATATCTGTGCCGGCCCCAGGGGCCGCGCCATGATGGCACCAGGCAACTAGCTCACTCAGAGTGCCAGTCAGAGGTGTCCAGGTGTGCACTTTCAGACTATTTCCTCCCTTCAATGCAGCAATGGCCTTAAGAGTTAACCCTGATTCCTGAGATAAAGGGCAAGCCAGTGAAGACCTTCTTCTTGTACTCAACGTAGTCCTCTCCAAAGAAATGGATGAGAGAAATCTCCTCTTCCTCAATACGCTCTCGAAAGAACCGCCAGCTGGCGATTGTATATCCCAGTATACATATCGGGTTGCACAGCATTATCTGGAAAAGATGACAAACAAGAGTACAGGTATAAAACAAAACATAAGAACATCTTCTAAACTAACAACTAAATTTAAGGGATGGTGAAAAATATAGGGATAAATCACAGAAGGGCAAACCTCCAGTGGTTTGTCGGAGCTGTGCACTTCTGTTGAATAGCTATTCAAGCTTAGCTTCTCACACTTTAATTGTATTTATACTAAAGCTCCTAACAGGCTGTGTGACTATGAGGAATGATTAACTCAAAATGTACATCCATATGCAAGTTTGAGGGACTTTATTTATATTATAAATACTTACTCTTGACGCACAACCCCCACCCCCACGAATAAATTCCATTGAAATTATTGGTTAAAGTACCTGAGTGCCAGTGCTCCAGTAAAACCAGCCCACATAGGAAGGATGTCTGAAGAGAGCGTAAACTCCTGTGGTGACCAGCACGTGGCTCTGGGCTTTCTCATTCTGCACTATATGGTTAAAGTTGGACCCTGCCGTCAACATGGCAGCTTTGCGCAGGCTGTCCCCACAGAGAACCATTACCAAACCCACCAAACAGAGCCAGTTCACCTGCTTTATCTCTGTTGAAAAAATTTAACAAAATTCAATTCATTTCAAAAATTTAAGGAAGCTTTTCAACTGTTCCTGAAAAAAAAGAAACAATTAAAATGAACAAATAAATTAAATAATATATATAATTAAAGTTAATGATTATAATGTTTTGGCAATATATTATATTTAATAAGTATATAAGAAGCTTATAAAAGCTTCCTCCATACAAATTGACAAAACTTACATTATTTTGTTTCCTTACTAATAGGCTTGTCACAATCATGATGTTTAAGCTGACGACTGTCATACAAATAATTGCAATTTTATACAGTACTGGTCAAAAGTTTGGGAAACATTACTATTTTTTATGTTTTTAATGCGCTCATCAAGCCTGCATTTATTTGATCAAAAATACAGAAAAAAACAAAATAACAGTAATATTGAGAAATATATTTACAATTTAAATGAATGTTTTTTTTAATAATTTAATATACTTTCAAATATAATTTATTTCTGTGATGCAAAGCTGAATTTTCATCAATCAATTACTCCAGTCTTAGAAAGCTAAAATCAATTTGGATCAATCGGGATTTACTGACCAATATCATAACAAACCTGGAATAAGGAGTATTTCCACAGTGAACTCTATCCAGGAGGAAATAGCTGCTAATGTGTACTCAATACTATGGTTGAGCAGGAAGGAGTCTAGAGACAGACTGCGTGGGTTGATGATGGCAGTAACCAGGTACTCAGAGTAGTGGAAAAATGACAGTGAACACATATACCTAGTGGAACAAAACACGAGTTAATCCTTGTTTCATGTCCTATTTTTATAACATGTGTATGTTAACCTCAAAAAGGCCTAACCCATTTCACAAAAGTTGAATTACCAGCCAAAGTGTGTCCATGCTGTATCTGCCAAACTTAAAATGAGACCACATCCAAAGGCAAATCCAAGAAAGCAGGCTCGAACAGCAACCTGATCAAGCAAAAAGGCAGGAAAGTGTTAGCTAGATCCTGATACTGCAAACCCACATACAGTAAGCTGTCTTCTAGGAGAGCTTATTCATATTGACAGAGAAACTCTTACGAGATCCCATTAGAGTACTAATGTAATAGGATTATACCTGCATACTTGCACACACAGGACATTACCCAATCGCTGCACTGGCAAAAACAGACCTAGATATATCTTATCTTTATTCATTTAAAACATACATATGGATATGACAGGGGTTCCAGCTACGCAATAATTTTTCTATGAGTATAACACACATCTTTCAGGCTGTGTCTCTGAGTCTTACCTTGTATAAAGGTCCCTTGTATATGATTAGCAGGAAGCCATTGATAACTGTAATGTACGCCGCAATGGCTATTTTTCCGTTCACATCCGTGAGGTAATCGAATATCCAGTCAATATGAGATCCGAATTTTACAAGTAACGGTATTATAATGACGGCCAGTCCTGATATAAAGCTAATAATACTTATCCTCCCTTCTAGCACCAACTTGCTGCCTGCCATGTTGAAAACAGCAAAATCCCGCCGAGAAATCTCGCGAGGCTTCCGAGCTCACGTTGACTTGCTTACTAATATTTGACAGCGTTTTCAAGCTCATTGAACTGTAGCTGTGTATTAATTTATCCTGAAGTGTGACTGTAATTTCATAAGATTAAATTATTTAGTTACTATTATTATTACTCCATGCATTTTAACAGCAGTCTTTATAAAGCAGTGGTGGCTGTTTTGAAGCCACAATTTACCAATGAAGCTATACAATCAAGATGTTGTTTCCCTCAAGATGTATAAGGGTCCTATTGCTCATCAGAATTAAATGTTAATCTACAGCTGTAATATGTGGGATTTTAGGTGGTGATGATGGTGGTAAATAATACACAACAACACACTTCTAGTGTCAGATCACTTAAAAACTGAACTAAGATGAAGAAGCACAAGATCTCCCATATAATAATGAACGCTTGGCTTTCATGAGCATGATGAGAAGCATTATTTCAGTGTAGCACAAAGCGGTGGAATAAATCAGATTTGAGCCAAAAGGAAGATTTACTGGTTTAATAATGTGAGATGAAGATCTCCCCTGTGTTCTTCTTTGTGTCCATTCCAAAGCTGCTCGTCTGATTGGAAGCTGGGGACCTGGCAGGCGTTGTAGTCCCAACATTAAAAAGACGGTCTTTGCATGCATGCTCAAGTCCATCTATTCACAACTGTTCCCTTGTAATGACAACAACAGATCGATGCAACTCAACCGCATGAACACAAAATACAAATATGTCTACATGCAATAACTTCTATAATACATTTGTTACAAATTTTCAAAGATTCCACAATGACACATTACTCAATTTTCATATCGCACATTACATATCATAACAGAGTAGCTCAATTTTCATTCATTTGAATGAACTGATCTTGTAGTATAAACAATCTGTTTTGTAAAACTCATGCAAATATGTAATGTCTATGCATTCTCAAAATATTGCTGTCAATGTTTTACAATTTTTGGAAACAATTAGGCGAAATCCAGGAAAGCAACCAAATGATACAACTAAACATGTATAAGAATGAATATAAAAAAAATCCAAAACAGTGGAAAATGTAATTGCATGCATTTGGAAAGGAAAATATGACAAATTCTTCTGCCTTATTTAAACAATGACCATGCCACGGTTTAAGCTTATACCCTCATCAACACATTGTCCCTTTTTGCGTGTGATGCGGTAATGCCTGTGCAGTTTAGCATAGCAACGAAGCCCTGTGAAGATGTAAGGAACATTTTTAGATGATTTCCACTTTGTCAGTATGTGTAATAATCAGTTTGAAAACACTTGCTCACCTTCCTCACACATGCAGCTGTCATAGCACTTGTTGTTGAAGCCACGGTTGTGAAGCTCACATACATGTTTTCTGAGATTACAGCACGACCCTGCCATTTCATATAAATGAGGTAAAAATGGTGTGATCATTTATTTGACTTAAATGACTCTCAACTTAATTCAAACTTTGGGGACAGTAGGGTTTTGTGATGTTTTTGAAAGAAGCCTCTTATTTTCAGCAAGGCTGCATTTGATCAATTACAATAAAACAGTAATATTGTGAAATATTACAATTTAACAGCTGTTTTCTATTTTAATTAGTGCTGTCAAATGGATAAATCGCAATTAATTGCATTTAACATAAAACATTTGTTAACATAATATGTGTGTGTATTATATTTATATATATTATATGTCTGTGTGTAAATATACAGTACACACATATTTATACATATATAAATATGCGTATAATAAGTATATGTATAAAATGTATGTATAATATACACATATTATACATACTGTTATAAGGTGGAAGGTGAACCCAGGCGCAGACAGGATGCAGTGACATGAAGTTTATTATAAACAGAAAACAGAGAAAACAAAACCCACGAGGGGCAAAACATGAACAGCAAAAGAAATGACAAGACTAGACTAGAACAAACGGTAAACAAAGAATAGGACTTTCTCTCAGGACAAAACAGTGGACAAATACTCACATGGTATAACAATGCTCGACAGAGATTCTCACAGTGAATCACACACTATCACAGATACAATGAGTTACGACACACAATGAACCGACCCAGGACAGCAAACACAAGGGGATAAAATAGGGAGAATCTAATGAGAATCTGACAAGGCAATAATGACAAGAGGATAACAAGGGGGCGGGGTCACGTAACGAGACAACACAAGCACATGGCCCAAACAACAGGCCATGCGCTTGTACCAAGCGTGCCGCACAAGCCCTCAAAAGTGAAGCCAAAACGTCTCGATCGCCCCCCGGTGACCGGTCCTAGTATAGCTCATAAGCCCCGCCTCCCCATGTTATTCAACGGGACGTGAGACCAACTAAATAATTAAATTACACTTCACATATCTTTTTTCTAAAGATAGTTTCTGTCATTTACTGTAGTTTCTATCACGCTGATGTAATTTCAAGTGTTTGTTTTTAAAATAAGTTAGTTTTTAGTTAGTTATTTGATGCTATAAAAACGGTGCTGTGACATCATGATTGACAGCTGTGATTGACAGGTTCTCTGTGCGAAGTAGTCACTGAAGCACCAACGGACTTTTTTTCATAATGTTGACTATGTCGTTAGTAGTTGTATTTACCTTATTTTAACGAGGTACTGCAATCAGCAGACATCATTGGAGAGGAACGGAGCAGACAAGGCCACTTAAGAAAAGTGCAGGGCGTGTGCTTGCGATTGATTCAGCGAGAGTGAGGGCGGGGCCTTGATTTCGCGGCTTTACTTCCTGCTCGCGACTGCGCATGACTGGTCCCGAAAACGCTACTGCGCAGACTCAAGTTCCAATATGTCAGCGCCATATCGGGACTCTGGCGGCTTCAGTTCTCTCCAATGGAAAAGAGCGAAGGGGCGTCGTCCATCTTTTTTTACAGTCTATGGCTTGTACACAAAACATGGGTCTGCCATGATCCTGCCACAAGACTAGGAAAAATCAAGGACATGATGGCAGAATCATGACACATACATATATATATATATATATATATATATATATATATATATATATATATATATATATATATATATATATATAAATATAGGCTAATAATATTTATACACACATATATTATGTAAATAAAAACGTTTATGTTAGATGCAATTAATCACGATTAATCCATTTGACAGCACCTAATTTGAATAATTATATTTTAAGATGTAATTTATTCCAGTGATGACAAAGCTGAATTTTCAGCATCATTCCTCCAGTCTTCAGTCACATGATCCTTCAGAAATCATTCTAATATGAGGATTTGCTGCTCAAGAAACATTTTTTATTATTTTCAATGTTGTAAAAAATTATATTTTAATGTTAATATTTTTGTAAAAAAAACGTGCTGATATTTGCTTCTTCTTTTTTAAGGATTCTTTGATGAATAGAAAGTTCAAAAGAACAGCATTTATTTTACATAGAAAGCTTTTGTAACAATGTAAAGTTTATTATATTATATTATATTTTTAATTACTCAAATTGCTCTAGCTCACTGGAGAATAGATATAGTATAAGGGGCTTGTTGTAATAATGCAAAAGGTGAAAAAGTCACCTGGTAGACAATCCAGGTGATGTTTACAGCTCTCTTCTGATGTAAGAGTAATGAGTTCAATGCTAGGACTTTTCGTGGCCTGTTTGTCAGATCCTAGATGGAAATAGAGTGATGGTCAAGTGTTATTAGTAAAAATTGTAATTCACCAACACATTATACAACAGACAACTGCAGTTAAAACATCTTAACTGAATTTGCTACATTTCATTTTCGCATAGGGCATTTGGTCTTTTACATGCTGATGAGATATGGGAACACTAGATGAATTTGCCTAAAAGTCTTACATAGTTCATTCTTGTGGTTCCAAGTTCAAGGCATTGACACTTGCTTACATATCTACACAGACTCAGCTCCCTCCTACTTTCACTCACTCCTACGAGTCTACGTCCCTACCAGAAGCCTACGATCATTCAATGAGCGACGGCTTGTGGTACCATCACAGAGAGCCAAAAAATCACTCTCTTGCTGCTCACCTTAGAATGAGGAATTAGAATGAGAATGAGAATACCTTAGAATGAGGTACTCATTCACGGTTCCATGCTGGTGGAATGATCTCCCCACCCTCATCCGGAATGCAGAATCCCAGACAACATTCAAAAGACAACTGAAAACTCATCTCTTCCGTGAGCACTTAACCTCATAAAAATAAAAATATATATTTTTTAAATCTTTTTCCCATAATCCTCCCTTGTCTGGCTTATGCTACTCTGAGAAATGCCTGCACTTTGTATTTTGAGCACTTTTTGCGTTGTTTTTTGCCTCTTCACGATGACTTGCTTTAATTTAGTCCTAATTTTTAAGTCGCTTTGGATAAAAGCGTCTACTAAATGACTAAATGTAAATGTGTATGTGTATGCAAAGCACCATTAATCAAAGCATGCACAAATTATCTCAGTTCACCATTTCAAAAAAGCAAGCATACTTAAAAATGGCAACTTCTAACTTTAAAACTCACAAAAGCAGAAACAATGTGTCTGTATTTGTTAGTGAAATATTGGTCTACCTTGCTTCTTAGAAAATTGCTTTTTGTCTGAAGGCCTCATATATTCATAATCAGTCCAGTCGAAGAATGTTATGTTGAAAGTGGGCGTCACATCCCCACTGAAACTTCTGACCTGAGGTACAAAAATATTCATGTCACTATATGAGGTATTGAAATTTCACTTTTTCATATGAAATTAAATCACTTTGGCCAATTGTTAATCCTTTGAAGTTCAATAGAACAAATTGTGGTGGTCTGTTGTATAGACTGAGACAATAAACAAGAAATTGTTTCATGTGTGGATTAAATTGATGACATGAACCTATTATTCCTCATAATGTAGGTCATTGGGATTCAGTTTTATTGAGCCTGTTAGTCACTGACAGATGAGAAGCTGAGATATTTTTAATCAGTGTTATTGAAAAGCTAGATGATGTTACCTGTGGTTTACTAGAGGGGGTTGGCTTTGTGGACGGCTTCCCACCGACTGCAGTTATGGGTAATATGAAGGAGCCAGCAGTGGCTGCGGGGAACACTGACTCTGTGGGACTCCCAAAGGAGTTTAGATTGAGCCTTTGATCAAAAGAAACCCTCCGTTTCTTCCCTGATGCCAAATATGTGAAGAAAATAGCAAGTAGATAATTACAAAATGGCAGGACAGTTAACTTATAAGGGAGTTTTACTTTAGAAAGTTTGAGGGTTTCTTTTTACCCTCATCATGAACAGCCCTAATGATGTGCCCTCCAAACACTTTGCGCCCAGTGGGATGTCTCATTGCCTTCTCTGGAGTCCCGGCGCCAGGAGAGATATACGTTTGCTCTGGAATTAAGGAATCAAACCCATTGAAGGTCCTCTTTCTTCCACTCAATACTCGTCTTTTATCTCCTGGCTCTATCTCTAAGCGGACGGGACTGAGGCCCTCCAGGTCTGGCCCTTCATTTTGGGTGTGGAACACAGTAATATGGGGCATCTCTCGGAGCAGACCTGCTGTCATCCTCTCCTTACGACCTCTGTGCTTCCTGTGATGACTGTGTTGATGTATGGATGCCTCTGGCATGGGCGGGATAATGACATTGTCGCTGAAGATTTCCATGGCTGAATTGTGGCCCATTTCGGTGCTCAATGTCATGGTCCCCAAGTCAAGGAGGAGAATTGAGCCAAAATACCAACATAAAGCCACCATTCTAAGAGTAGAAAAGATTAAACAAATATAGAGTAATATAATACAGTAATAAATAATAAATAACACAACACAGTAATAAAGTCACTTTTCTCATATATATATATATTAAAAACTTCTAGAATTTTTAAATAAATAAATTATATTTATTCAGCAAGTATGTATTAAATTGATCAGAAGTAACAGTGAAGACATTAATGTTACAAAAGATTTCAATTTCAAATAAATGCTGTTTTTTAAACTTTCTATTCATAACAGACTCCTGCAAAAGAATGTATCACGATGGCCTCAGCAATATTAAGCAGCACAACTGTTTTCAACAATGATAATAATTAGAAAAAATTATTGAGCTTATCATATAAGCTCATCCATTCTTTCACCAAGTGCAACAATATCTTTGTTGATCCTGGAACAACACTCCTAGTCAACCAATCAGATTTGAGGGACAAGTTTACAGTTTATGTCAAGTTTAGGCTTACAACCAGGTCTACATCAGTGTTATTTACCTGTCATTTCACTCTGATTTTAGGGATAACTTATGGGTAGGGTTATACGATTAGGGGTAGGGATTACAATTTCGGACAGGAATGTTGTTCCAGGACCAACAAAATACGTTGACTCAGGAACACATCTAACATGGCAAAATCAGGACATGCAATCTATTCTACTGAAGCAATGTGTCACAGTACAAAAATGAATTGAGTTACTGGCTTTGAGAAAGCTAAATGTAGATGGGCAGAAAAATCCCTCTATTCACACTTCAGAACTTCAAGAAATCACCTGGTCTCAACACAAGCTTATAAGACTCAAATGCACACCGTAAAAGAAAAATAATGTTTTGAAATAAACCAAAGCAAATCAGCCTGACAGACCATTTGATGTTATGTTGCTCTTCTTTTTGTGAAAATGCTTTGGGAGTCCCGCCAGGCTCTACATTTGGTCTTTGATCTTGAACAACTGGACAGCATTGAATATGTTGGGCAAAGACTCTGCATGAGCAATGGTGTCTGGCGACTTTAGAAATGTTATATTCCCTATCTGACTTATTACAATATATAATTCAGACAGACATGTAAGCGCATTCGCTCTAACTGTAATTTTTGTGTAAGCATATTAGAGATGAGGATGAAGAGAACTGATCCAAGCCCAGGGATTTTTACCCTCAGAAAATGGATTACACACACTGAGATGAGTGTGACTAATTAAACAAGCGAATTTAGCTTTCATATACTGACAGACTAGAGTTGTGACAAATCCAACATTTCCCAACTGTGGCAGCATTTACATAATGAACTACAAAACTTGAAGATTTAACCGAGAGCTTATGATTTGGATGCCATAGATAAAACCTGAGGATGTTGAAAGATTTAGTGGAATATTATTCACTTTAGTTGAACTTTTTCTGATGTTGGTGTAAAAGCCCCAACCTCAAATTGCAGCATGCCACGCAAACAAGTTTTAAGTAAGGGATTGATGTATTTTTATGAAAATATTACAAATGACAGGATGCACTAAATAAAGTATATTTAAAACATTAGTTTGCATAACCAACATAGCATAAAAAGAAAATGCAATCATTTGAAAGATGTTGCAATAACACATTTCTCTTTGAAGCACGCAGCATAATGGTAATTTGCCAGAACATTAAACAAATAATAAGTGTCTCACTGTTTCCTATGCTTTTAATTATTCAAATTCTGCATATGCAGCTGATAATGTGTTGATATTATCTTCATTAATTTCAAGATCTCATGCTGTGCACGCCAATGCTGCTCAGGAGCCTAAAAATATCAAAGCTTCCCCCGTTTTTTCTCATTAGTCTGTGTAAACAGTGACATGATTAATTCAATGGGGAATTTGTTCTTCCTTGTACAGAGACTTTTCCTACGTATACGACAATCGCAAAATTATTCACTTTAAAAGCAACTGTTATGCATCATGCATATAATTACCTGGCAATAAATGCAGTAATACCGTTAACATAATAACACATGGAAAGCATGCGTTCAACCACGTATTCGATCTACTAATCTTTAAGTTTTAACATGGCAGATTTGTTCAGCTATGCTTGACAAAACAGCTCAATAACGACTAAAAAACATTAACAAACATTCAAGAGAAAAGAATGAAGAAAGTGGTCACCTGTTCTCCGGTCTGTGATACGTTATTTCCATAGACAGTATAGGTTATTTCTGCTTGCAGTCCACACTCCACAATGAGCGCGTGTGAGTTGTAGAGGAGAGCGCGCGCGCGTGATTGTGAGAAGCGCAGTCTCGAGCTCTCTCACTGAAGATTGCGCCTTAACAAAAGAAGCGCTCTCATTTTATCTTGCTGACTGAAACAATGGTCTAGGTGTGACCGATTTAATGGTGTATGTTTTGGGAAATGTTTTGACGAATGTTGTTACCATTCGTCTTATTACACTATAGGCTATACACTGTTAACTTTCGCTGTAGATTTAGCAGCACAGTACTGTAAAAACCTACAGTACAATACTGCATTTCTATATTACAGTAAAATACCGTAATTTGCATTGCATTCTGGGTAATTTTGTTTGAGCGGGAACATTTTACAGTACATTTTAGTGTTGCTGTAACCTAGCTGTAACCTGGCTGTAACATGCCAGGCAAATATACAGGGTTGCTGTAAACAGAGAGCGCGCGCGCCGCCTGACTGACGTCAGAGCACAACTGCGGCAGTTCACTCACTCAGCGCGGATATCTCACTCTGTGGATATCTGCATATTTGGTAAGTTAATTTTGAATTTTATAATAAGGTTTAAGGATTTTACGCTATAGTGTGTAGCCTACATAGCTTTTAATGTGAAATGACAGTGGAAGTTTAGCCAGCGACGGTTGCAAAAACACTGTTAAGTTTGTTAACGTTATCTGCTCTTTCACTGCTTGTCCTGACATTTTCAAATTTAACGTTATAACTCCGTGAATTAACATTACCTTACGGTTTATTTCGTCCAAAACAGATTTGGTGATTGTTGGAACGGTGGAAAGAGAAATCGAGATGGTCTTTTGTGAGTTTTATTTTGTTTCTGTCGAGTTTTAATTAAATGTGTTTTACGATGGTCTGCGAGATAAAATTATACTGCATTTGACATGTTAGTCTTACTGTTAGGCCTATCTCTGTAGGGAACACCCGAGCCTGTCAGTGGTAAAAACAAGCACTTATAATAGACATATCTTTATTTTGATCAAACTGCTATAGGCCTATTTGCAGTCCGTTTCCCGAATGACGAACTTAATGATTTTATGATCAATACTGGACCAAATTGAAGTCGTTTAGACACAAAATAAGACGCGTGAAAATAAGGCTTAAAAACACTGCACTTTCCTTTGCAACGCAAAATGGGTGATTTATTTGGGCTTAGAGAGATGGGCTTAGAGAGATTGGCTATTGGTACCAGTTTAGCCTTTTACTTCATTTCTATTTAGGCAGGAGACCCAGTTATATTGATTATTATAATAATTAAAAATATAAATAAAGGTGTAAATTGTTGAAAAACTTCAGACTATCAGAGTTAATGATCTATTAGGCAACAAAGACAAGTAAACTGCATGCCAAAAAATCAAGTTAGAATATTTAGAGAGGTCAAGTGAAGCTTATGTTTTATTAACCTAACTTAGATGTATTGTAAGCAGATTTATGAGATATTTCCTTAACAAGAAACACATAACCGTTAACTGAATACTATTTATTTTGATTTCTTACAGCTCTACAGTGTGGGACAATTTGCAGCCTGGGAAGGAGTTTTATGTAAGTATTAGCCATGTTAATACAATGTTTTAAACTTAAAGTTTTAAAATCTAAAGATTACTTTTTTTTTTTTGTCTGTTTTTGTTATTTCTACAGAATTTTCTCTCTTCCACTGTCTGTCTGCTCATCTTTGGTGCTGTGGCTAACAGATTTTGTCATGTGTTTTTGTGTGTCATGTCTTTTTCAGTTTTGGTCATCGGTCCAAGGTTCCAGTACCACCTCAAAATCCCAGCCAAGTTTTTAAAGGGATACTCTACTGGTTTTTAATATTAAACTATGTTATTCCCTTAACTAAGACGAATTGATGCATATCTCTCTCGTCTCAGTGCGTGCACTAAATCGCTGTCTTGCGGCGAAACTTTGTTAGATCTTATCTCAGCCCTGTTCATTCAATACGTGCCAAGAAGAGAAGCGACCAAACACCTCCACGTTTTCCCTATTTAAATACAGTTACACGAGTAGTGTGACTCGACCTAGGACGGTGACACAAAATTTTCTAAGTGTGTAAAATGGATATCTATATTGTATGGCAGAATACCATAGCAAGTGCTTGAGAGCACTTCGACTCGGCGCAGTAATATCATCTCTCGTGAAAAGTCCGCTCCCGTTGAAATGAGAGGGAGGAGGAGAGGCAGCGGGGGGAGCGGACTTTTCACGAGAGATGATATTACTGCGCAGAGTCAAAGTGCTCCCAAGCACTTGCTATGGTATTCTGCCATACAATATAGTTATCCATTTTACACGCTTAGAAAAGCACAACGTTTTATTTTGTGTCACCGTCCTAGGTCGAGTTACACTACTCGTGTCACTGTATTTAAATAGGGAAAACGTGGAGGTGTTTGGTCGCTTCTCTTCTTGGCACGTATTTTGAATGAACAGGGCTGAGATAAGATCTAACAAAGTTTCGCCGCAAGACAGCGATTTAGTGCACGCACTGAGACAAGAGAGGTATGCATCAATTCGACTTAGTTAAGGGAATAACATAGTTTAATATGAAAAACCAGTAGGGTATCTCTTTAAGTATGTCCAGCTACAGCTGCAAGTCATGCAGTTTCTCAACCTCTCTCTTAAATGCGTTCACCATACATGGTTTTAATAGTGTAATTGATCAATAAAAATTTTTTTTGACAAGAACATTGTTTGGATTGTCTTTTGATTTGCAGTTATTCTGAAGTTGCATTATAATATTATTACCTATAGATTTATATACTGTAATAACTACATATTATATAGTTATAATATCATTAGTAATTTGAAAATTACAATGTTTTGCAATAATGCATCAATATATCAATATAGATATTACAGTACAATATCGTATAAATTACAACAGAAGCAGACAAAAATGACAAAAAAAACTGTAAAAATACAGTACAATACTGTTTTGTAGTTTACAGTACTGTTCGTGTGTACTGTAAATTGAATTACAGTACAGTTACTGTAAATCGAAATACAGTACCTTGCTGGCAACCTTGCTGCCAGTACTGTACTGTAAAAATACAAGAAAATTGTTAACAGTGTACGTGTCATTTTCAGAGGTGGACAGTAACAAAGTAGGCCTACATTTACTTGAGTAGGCTACTGTACTTAAGTACACTTTTTGAGTATCTGTACTTTACTTGAGTATTAATTTTTCTGGAAACTTTTTACTTTAACTTCACTACATTTGAAAGACAAATATCGTACTTTTTACTCCTCTACATTTCTGTCAATTAAGGTCCTTGAGTAAATAGGCTAACGTCAGTCATGGGATGATTTTGATTGCAGGTTGCGGGGGTTTTGCATTTTGGTTGGAAATGAAAGTCGGACAGACGTTGGATTTTGGATGGAAATTAAGGTCGGGTTGACGTCAGAACATATATACTAACATATTCATACAAAAAGCCAAAAAACTTTTCATGGAGACTTAAAGGGCACTATTTGAGGGAACAGACATTTTGGTGTCCGAAACCATTGAGTGCACTTATTCAATCTCACATTCAATCCCACTACTGGAACTGTGTTCTAGATAACATTTGATATTGATATGAGGGTATAGGGGCGATTTAGGACATGCAACCAATATCTGATTAATGTGAATATTATTACTAGTCTTCTCGACTAGATGTCATCCTTTATTCTTTTTTTTTTTACCTTGTAGGATGTTCCAACCGGGTCCCTGTCAATTTTATGAAATAATTAGGCCTATATGTTACATTAGGCCTACCTAATTACTTAAAGCTGCAATCTGTCACTTTTTTGGGTTAAAAATTATCCAAAATAAATTTTTGAGCAAGTACATAACCAGCCAGTGTTCAAAACTATCCGCTTGCCTTAGCTCGATTCAAAACGGTAAGCTTGTAATAATGTTTTTAATTACAGAAGTACTGGTGGATTTCCGCTGTAAATTCGAGCATGTCTTTGCGTCATTACGTCACATATGTACACATAAAGGAGTCTCGGCTAGTAGGCTATGTTGGGTGTGAGGATGTTGGAGGTGGAGATTTATAGCCTTTTCTCACAGCACTTGATAAAATTAAACATCAATTTGATGGCGATCCAGAAAGGTTCAAACGACAATCACCAGTGACAACAGATTCACCCGCTGTAAAATGCAAAAGATTTCGGAGTGGCTGCAGAAAAAAAGAGACTGCAACCGGGCCCATGCGAAATCAAGAATAAATATCGGAAGGACATTAAATGTAGGCACGCAATGCTGATGTTGTTAACATTAACAATTTGAGAACAAAGTATAATTTGCACGGTTTGACGTGAAATGATAAGTGATCGTTAGATTTAATCAGCACGATTTACTACAATGCTTTTTTTCAGTTAGTTGGTCAGAACAAAAGTGGATGTTACTTACTTGTTTAGACGACATTTTCTGGTGAAAATTCTTATGTTGGTCATACTTCCAAAAAGTAGAATCTGTGATTCTGAATGACAGTATCCACACCGGCGCGGTGACTGACAGCCACACATTCTCCTCAAAACATTGGATTCATCCGCGCTGTGCCGTGCCGAGGCACAACCCACATAAAGTTGATAATTCTGCGAATAACTGCAATTGCAGATTTCGAACAGAGATGGCGACAAAGAGGAAAAACTACGCTTTAAGTAGGCTACTTAATGTTCAATATAGTCTATCTTTTATCAGATTTAATTCCAAAGCTAGTCTTTAACTGGATGTTCTCATTCTTGGTTTATGTTTACATCCATGTAGCATAAATTAATATCATTTAGGACCATTTATATAAATAAGTCGCGAGATGGCGCTAACTTTTATTGATATGAAAAGAACGAGACTGCGGATTAATACAAGAGACATGCGAGTAGCTCCGGTGTGTTCCGATGAACAACGTTGATATGTTTAATTTATCTGACATAAAACACATATATTTGAGCGTTCAATGCCGCA